TTGAAGTCCCAGATGCACACTCTTGCCTGCCCTCCGGCTGCCGCTGAAGGAGGTCCTCGGGATGGCAGCCCGGCCGTGACCTATGAGTTGAAAGGGCAGATGAGGAAAGAGATGCAGGGCCACAGCCTTTGCTCACCTGGCCAGCTCTGGCCCTGGCTCTGCTTCCAGCCTGCAGAGAGGAGCGTGGCCCAGCGGCCATGCTGGGCCCTGGGAAAGTGGCAGGGGCCCCTCACGGCTTCATCAGACTCCTCTGGGTGCTCGGCTGGGAGGGGCAGGGCGGGGTGGGGAGGGGGGTCTCTGGAGCCAGTCTGGGTGCTCGGCTGGGAGGGGCTGGGCAGGAGCTAGGAGGGGTGGGGTGCTTGGGGCAAGGATGGGGAGGGACCCACACACAATCTGCTCGTTCACCAGGGAAAAGACAGACACACGGAGATCTTTGTTCAATGGGCAGCAGCAAAGAAATCTCAAGACCACAGCTAAGATCCGAGTTGCAAACCCCACAGGTCAGAGGTCTGAGCAGGGTCCAGGAGGGCAGGAACCCACAGCACCTCCCGGAGTGCTGAGCGAGGGCTGAGTATCCCTCCCTCCTTCCCTCACGTAGGCTCCCCAGGGTCCTGCAGGTTATGATATGCTTCCCCACCCCTTTCAAGTTGGCTTCCTAAAGAAAAGATTAAACTTTAGAAATATTCATTAAGAAAACCTTGAAATTTTTTCCTAAGAAAGTTTTTTCCTAAGTGGTAAATGAGACAAAGCAAATTTAAAAAGAGACCACTTTCTCTAGTTTAAGAGCAAACATGTTTTAAAGCACCAATTAAAGTAGAAAAAGTTGCCAAGAGTGCTCTCTACAAGTCTCTGCTGCTAAAAAGAAACTGAGACAGTAAAAGACAAACCCTTTGGAAAATGCTTACACACAGTCACATACACAAGGGCCTGTGGTACGCCACAATGGCAGAGAAAAGGCATGAATACATCACTAAAGATAAAACAGGGCAGCTCACACCTGTAATCCTAGCTACTCAGGAGACAGATCTGAGGATCATAGTTCAAAGCCAGGTTGGGTAGAAAAGTCTGTGAGACTTTCATACCCACTGAACTACTCAGAAAAATCCAGAAGTGGTGCTTTGCCTCAAGTGGTAGAGAGCTAGCAATGAACAAAAGAAGCTCAGGGACGGCACCCAGGCCCTGAGTTCAAACCCAGGGACAGCACCCAGGCCCTAAGTTCAAACCCAGGGACGGCGCCCAGGCCCTGAGTTCAAACCCAGGGACGGCAACTAGACTCTTGAGTTCAAACCCAGGGACGGCGCCCAGGCTCTGAGTTCAAACCCAGGGACGGCGCCCAGGCCCTGAGTTCAAACCCAGGGACGGCAACTAGACTCTGAGTTCAAACCCAGGGACGGCGCCCAGGCCCTGAGTTCAAACCCAGGGATGGCGCCCAGGCCCTGAGTTCAAACCCAGGGACAGCACCTAGACTCTGAGTTCAAACCCAGGGATGGTGCCCAGGCCCTGAGTTCAAACCCAGGGACGGCGCCCAGACCTTGAGTTCAAACCCAGGGATGCGCCCAGACTCTTGAGTCCAAACCCAGGGACGGCACCTAGACCCTGAGTTCAAACCCAGAACTGATAAAACTGGTGAACATGAACAAATCAAATAAGAAAACATTTAAAAAAGAAGAAAGCCAGGCACCGGTGGCTCACACCTGTAATCCTAGCTACTTACAAGGCTGATATCTGAGGATCACGGTTCAAAGCCAGCCCAGGCAAGAAAAGTCCGTGAAACTCTTATCTCCAATAAACCACCAGAAAACCAGAAGTGGCGCTGTGGCTCAAGTGGTAGAGCGCCAGCCTTGAGCTGAAGAGCCCAGGGACAGCGCCCAGGCCCAGAGTTCAAGCCCCACAAGCGACAAAAAAAAAAAAAAATAAAAGAAGAAAAGCTGAAAAAAATTAAATACTAGATAATCCCATCTAGAGAAAAAGAAAACACCAAATCCAAGAAAAAGAGGAAATAAACATGGGCAGAGAGGAAATGAAAGGATTGCCAGAGTACCTGACTCCTTCCAAGACAAATACGGGGGTAAAATGGATGCTCTAGGCATTTATCATTTATCCCTACAGTTGGGATAAATGTGTCTGAAAGGCTGGGGGGGGGGGGGGGGGGACGTGGTCCCGGCCTGGCACTGCTGGGCGGGGGGGCAGATGTCTTCAGGTCAGGAGGTGTCCCTGGTGTCTTGGGTCCGTTCTACCCAGGCTCCTGATACAAGGCGCTGCCACATCAAAGCAACAGAGAGCCACCATGACTGTCACCTCCCCGCTGGGGACCAAAGGAGACCGTTCCTCTTGGTAAGCTGATCTCAGGCATTTGCAATAGTGACAGAAAGCTGACTCCTACCCATCTGGCCCACTAGCAAAAGCCCTCTCCAGGCAGGGTGTTGGGAGGTTCTGGGTGTGTCCTTCCACAGAGAGCCCTGGGGCAGGACCGGGAAATGCGTGGAGTCTATTCCCGGGCCTGGCGAGTGACCGGGGACTGCAGGGGACAGGCACTGCCGGGGCCTTGGAAACGAGAGAAAGGAGCAGAGCCTCGGCGTGGTGGGTGTTGGAGGCCTTGGGAGCTGGATGCATGGCCTTTTCCCAGACAGATACAAACAGAAGCAATCAGTGAACAAACAAGCACAGCAGTGTAAAAGGATGCATTTAATGTGTCCTGTTTAAAAGAAGTTTAAATTTTCAGTGAAAATAGAAACAGGGAGTATAATGAGAAGTATGCAATAAAATAGAATAAATTCTAAGATTATAATTTGAACAAATATTAAGAGTTTCCCTTTTAAAACAGAGAATTGTGACCTGATCTGATCATCACTGGGCAACAAAACCCGATAAGCTATGGATAAAAACAACAGAAAAACGTTTAAAATAAAAACATGGAGAAATAACATACCAGACAAAAGTCCTGGAAATGTCAGGCATGCAAACGCTAGTGTCTGCTGGGACAGAATTTAGGGCAGCAGATGCTGTGGGTGCACAGCTGGCTACAGGGATGGGTGAGCATCCGGTGCTGTGTTTGCAGGCCCTGTCCTCCGCTCACCACCAAGGGCCTCAGAGCCTCCCAGGCTGGACAGGCCACAGACAGTGACAGCCAAGAGCAGCCGGCAGTGACCAAGAGCTCTTCCTCTGTTTTTGACGTCCTCACACCTGTCTGGGTAAGCCGGCCAGAGGGCCTGTGCTCTGGGGCTGTGGGCGGATGCCACACTGTGCCAAGCACCTCACTGCCCATGCCTTTAACCAACGTGGATGGTCCCGCCAGTTTCGGGTCACAGGGCAGCCTGGGAGCTGTGCATTCAGCCCATCCACTGAGCGCAAGCCCCTCCGCTGGCCCCACCCCCTTTCAGCCCCATGTGGTTGAAATGGGCCCAGCTGCATCACCACCTTAAAGTCCGTTGGGTAAAGCCCTTCAACAACCTGCAGCCTCAACACCTCTGGCGGTGTCATGTCCTGAGATTGGCCAGAGATCAGGATGGCACATCTCTGGACATCGCCAGCCTGCCTCAGAGCTCAGGTCAGTGACAATGCTGAGGTTGGGGACGTGGCGCCGGACGGCTGCTGAGACACCAGCCATCCCGAGGCACTGGTGTGTGCCGGGGCGCCGCGCCGGCTGGAATGCCACACACGCAGAACCTCCACTAGAAACCTCTGCCTGTGCAGACAGTGGAGAAAATGAATGATGTCCCATGTCGGGACTCACGGAACAGCTGAGGCAGCACAGGAACTCGCTTCTCAGGTGGCAAGTCAGGTGAGAACAGAAGTGGTCACACAAGTCTAGTAACCGAAGAAAGAACACTGTCCTGGACGAGTGCGATCAACGAGAAAAAAGGTGGAAAAAGTACCGCAAAAGTCAGTAAGATAGAGGACAGTACATATTAATAGCAAAAGCCAAAGGCAGTACTCAGAAAACATCAATACACATATAAACCGTGAAAATACGGAGCAAAAACAAAGAGGAAGATGCAAATAGAGAGGCTAAATCAAAATGAACCACCACAGAAAGACCTAGAAACTCACAAGGCTATGATTATTAGCTGCATTGAAAATTTTCCAAGTCCAAGGTCAGTTAAAAGAAAACCCTGAACTTCTGAAGTGGGCACCCCGGGGGGCGGGGCGGCTGAAGTGGACACCCCGGGGGGCGGGGCGGCTGAAGTGGGCACCCCGGGGGGCGGGGCGGCTGAAGTGGACACCCCGGGGGACGGCGCAGCTGAAGTGGGCACCCCGGGGGGCGGGGCGGCTGAAGTGGGCACCCCGGGGGGCGGGGCGGCTGAAGTGGACACCCCGGGGGGCGGGGCGGCTGAAGTGGGCACCCCGGGGGACGGGGCGGCTGAAGTGGACACCCCGGGGGACGGCGCAGCTGAAGTGGGCACCCCGGGGGACGGGGCAGCTGAAGTGGGCACCCCGGGGGACGGGGCGGCTGAAGTGGGCACCCCGGGGGATGGGGCAGCTGAAGTGGGCACCCCGGGGGGCGGGGCGGCTGAAGTGGGCACCCCGGGGGATGGGGCGGCTGAAGTGGGCACCCCGGGGGACGGGGCGGCTGAAGTGGGCACCCCGGGGGACGGGGCGGCTGAAGTGGACACCCCGGGGGGCGGGGCGGCTGAAGTGGAGGAAGGGCAGGAGGGACTGGCATGGAGAAGGGCACGCAGGCAAAGGTGCAGGCCCCGGCTGGCTGGGTCACTGCCAGGGGCTGCACAGCTTGCGGCTCACGCTGGCGGGAAGAGGACAGCTCAGCGATGGGCCCGGCCGGGCCGCACGGCACCGCGCAGCCACCGGTGCAGTGGCAGTAGCAGGAAAGCCAGGCAAGGCTGGGGCCCACGTGTTGGTGGCTGCGCAACCCTGGGCTGCTCAAGTGTCATTTGGTCACCCGGCAGCACGGGGATCAAAGCCCTGCCTGTGTGAGAGGAGCCGCCAGACTCTACCAGCAGGGGGCGCAGTGAGGAGCCACAGCCGGAGGGAGCGCACGACATTTATTGAATCTGACAGCACAGAGGGGCGTCCTGGCGACCCCCGGATCCGCAGCTAGCCCCGCGTGCACGAGGCGGAGCCACGGGCAGGCCCACCCCACCCTGCTGCCCCGACGCTCAAGGCCCTCTCCACGGGCTTCGGGGGAAAACAACAACAAAAAAACAACCACCCTGATTTCAGCGTGTGACCAGGGGTGGAAACAGGAGCCAAGACCACAGGTTCTAGGGGAAACTGAGTCAGGATGCGTGAGAGAGGAGGGTCTCAGAGCACAAGGGGCAGGTAAGCATCAAACCAACTCAAAACTGTCACGCGGACGCTGAGGGACCAACTTCTAAAACGTCTCGGTGGGAACACAGGAGCACTAAAGTAAAGAGCATGCCCACACATGGAGACAGCTAAACTAACACGGAGCGCGGCGCCACGCCGCGCGTGGCTGTGCAGGGGCGCCTCTGTCGGTAAAGAGAACACTCCACTCAGCTCTGCGCAGAGGGCCGGCGGTCAAGCAGCATGAACCGACGGGCCGCGGGCTCCGGTGCCGGCAGGGTTAGAGCCCGCCCATCCCCGTGACCTCCGACGTCAGCCTGCAACAGACAGAGGCAGGAATGAGGGCGCCAGCCGCTCCTCACAGCGAGCGCGGAGGGGGGAGAGCGTCAGGCCAGACGCCAGAGCCTGCGGTCCCGCCCCAATCCCAGCCTACGGGGCTCTAGCCCCGGCCGGCAGCCGAGCAGCCGCAAGGTCTGCACAGCCCTCTGAAGGTCAGCCCAGAGGTCTGTCACCAGAGCCGCGGGGACTGGGCCAGAGCGGGCATGGCGCCGGGAGGGCAGGGCGGCCGCCATCTCCACACGCACCCTGCCTGGCCCAGCCCAAGGCAGGGCAGGCACAGGGAGGAAGGGGGCCTAGCTTCAGGGGCACAGCCCTGAGGGCTGTTGGGCGGCAGAGACAGGAGGCTGACTCGGCTGGGCTTGGGGTGGCGGCCTGCGGCCCCGTGTGCTGCCCACACTCCCACCGTGGAGGAGGGGAGCGCTTCCCCCGAGTGAGTGCGGGGCTGGCTGGGCTCCAGACAGAGGAAGGACCCTGCGGTGTGGCCCAGGGCCCTGGGGCCGCGCTAGCGGAGGCGCGGAGATGCGGAGACGCTCACCTGGCATTGATGAGATACTGGGCAAGGCTGATGTTAGCCGGGGTGCCGGTGATGGTGATCTGGCGCTCCGACGACCCCTCAGTGGCGTTGGCAATCTTGATCTGAGCGCCAGACATCTGTCGAATTTCGTTGATTTTGGTTCCTTGACGCCCAATTATGCAGCCTATTAGCTAGAGGAAAGCAGGGGGATTGTGTCAATAGACAAGCCCAGGACACCTGTAAGAACGCTTGTGGCACTCACAGTGACCAGCACCAACCTTGTTCTCAGCCCATGCCCTCGAACCCGGCTCTCCGGCTGAGGCGGGTGACTGTGCCCACAAGCCCGGTCCTCTGGCTGGGCCAGGTCACAGGCTGTGTCTGCCTCCTCGCCCTCCCGTGAGGATCACTGGGCGTAAGGCCTCATCGCATCACGCCTCCTCCATGCTGATTACAGGCCAGGCCCCGGTCAGCACCTCTGCTGACCCGCAGGGTGAGGAAGGTCACAAATGCCAAGCCTGGGGACGTGTGGAGCTGCTACGGCCTGACTCATGACCTGGGGATGCTCCTGAACTTCCTTTCCTCGCTACTGGGTGGCCTCTGTTCAAAGATGGGTCAGTGGCCTGTGGCCGGCAGTGGGAGACTCTCCTCCCGTCCCCTCCCTCCCACTTATGCGCTCCGCTGCTGCTGGCCAGGCCTCCTGGGTCCCGCCACAGGCACTGGAGAGGCACCATGCTCAAATGTGGGGAGGTGGGGAGGAGAGGCCCGCCATGCAGCCCCAGCCTGGCTGGCTCCCTCCGTGTCCACCCGGCCTGCTCCACTCAGGATGCTGGCCTCAATGACATGGAGTTCCGCTCATGCTCCACCGCTATGGAGGCCTGTGGAAATCATGTGGCCCTTCTGCTTAGGCATGAGGGAGTCTTCCGGCCATGTGGCAATCCTCCCGCCTGCCCCCTCCGGGAGCTGTGCAGGGGTCCTCACTCCTTTTCTAGATGGAGCCCTGGGAGAGGCATTACTCAGAACCAGAGAAAGGTCCTGAGCCTCATGGGTAGATGGAGAAGAGGTGGCCCGGGACTGGACGTCTCTGTGACTGAGCAAGTTCAGACGTGAGCACTGGACGTCTCTATGATCAAGAGCATGCTCAGACGTGAGCACTGGACGTCTCTGTGCTGGAGAGCAGGCTCAGACGTGAGCACTGGACGTCTCTGTGCTAGAGAGCATGCTCAGACGTGAGCACTGGACGTCTCTGTGCTGGAGAGCAGGCTCAGACGTGAGCACTGACGTGGCGGTCACTGGCGTGGCCTGTTGGACCCTGGCCTAATCTGGTTGTGACCAGGAGTAAACCAGGATGTGGTGAGGGGTGTTAGGTGGATACATCGAGCTTTCTTCCTGTGTCTGAGGAGCGAAAGGCGGTGGGGCAGGGCCCTCTCCTCCTGTCCGGATCGCCCTGAGGACTGGCCAGGGTCTCTCCATGCAGGGTGGACAGGGAGCTCTGAGTGCGTGAGAGGGCCCTGCCTCCCTTCTGAGGAGCAGGCTCCCCTCCCCAGAGAGACTCCCAGCAGGGTGTGGTGGCCAAAGGAGCCACAGCTAAGGGGTGCACGGCTCTCCGACACATCCCTACCGTTGCTCCTACCGACCATCTCAGTTTCAAAATGAATGTGCATGGCAAGAGTGTATCTCCTGATGCTGGCAAGTGGTGGCTTGGCACGGCCCTCCGAGGAGAGAGCCTGCCTGGTTATGGCACTGGCGGAAGGACTGCGGTGGTGGTGGGCCCGGAGGGCTGGCACGCAAGGCGGGGGCAGGCAGCACAGCCCCACATCCTGGAGGCTGGTTCTGTGTTGGGGCCTCAAGGTGGATAGAGATCCATGTGGCAGGGAAGCAGTCAGGGCTGGCGCTGCTCCCTGCATGCGTGGGCCGTGGGAGGATGGTCTCTATGGAGGTCAGAGACCTCCAGATGGCCTGCTTGCCCTCTCCTGCCTCCTGAATCTGTGCTTGCTGTGTTTACTTACATGAAGGGAGAGGCAGGGCTCCAGCCTTCTGCCTGCCTGGCACAAGCAGCAGAGGAGTAGAGGCTTTGGAGTGCCCAGCTCCAGAGCAGAGGCGGCCTCTAGACACAAGTTGGGTGGAAGGCGGCCCTGGGCCTGGGCTGCTGCTGGCAGCTACCTTTGGGGTCTGTCTCTCACTCTCCCTGCTTTTGGGGTCCCGGGATAATCCACTGATTTGGAAAACTTCCACAGCACATGGCCTCCCCGAGGCAGAGCAGAACCAGGGGTGCTAAAATGTAGACACCTCACACATTCGGGGTCTGTTGGAGCCACTTTACTGAGAACCCCAAACCTCTGATGATATGGGACTTCCTCGCACAACCCAGCCAGGCTGGGGCCAGCGTGGAGACGTGGCACCCAGCCCGGGTCCGCCCAGGCCTCGGGGAGCTCGGCGGACCCCTGCTCCCTTCCCGCTGGCTATCCTAGGGATGGCTGGGCATTAGGCAAGCTTGAGGGAAGAAGCAGCTGGAGGAGTGGGGAGTGTGGGCGGGCGGGGCCGTGCCTCGGGGCGCACCTCAGGGTGCACCACCTGCCCCTCAAAGCCGGGAAGCGGGGAATACTCACATCATTGGGAATGGTGAGCTCATGAGTGCTGGCTGGGGAGCTGGCATCCAGACCTGGGCACACCAAAGGGGTAGGGTTAGGCTAGCAGGAAGGCTGCCCCCAGCCACCCAGGCCTGACCTCACCCCTCCCAGCTGCCCCTGGTGACGGCCCCCACGGGTCCCCGCAGGGAGCTCCCCAAGCCCTCAGTTCTCTCAAAGGAACACAAGACAAGAATGTGATGTTTTTTCCTTTGTGATTTCACCCCCACTGTGCGCGTGGAATCCCTCGGGACGGCCCAGCGCGACCTGGCCTCAGGTCTCGGCAGAGCACCTCGCACCGGTCACGCTGGCAGGGCTGACACGGAGGGCCTGCTCCCTCTCTGCTGGCTTAGAACCCCTTTGTCTCCCTGCTGCTGCAGCCAGCTACTAACGCTGCTTCTGACATAACTAACCAAAGGCCATCACACAGTGGCCGGGGAGTTCAGCTCACCATCCAGATTTTCACCTGAGCAAGGAGACCCGAGCTTCACTGCTACACTAGCGGGAGCGCCATCCTCCTCCTTACATTGAAGACTGAAGCCCAGGTTGCAGGTTCCTTCCTCCCTTCCTTCCTTTTCTTTCTTGACAAATCTGAGTCTAGCTCAAGTCAATCTGAAACCTTCCAGATCTTCCAGCCTCAGCCCCCTGAGGGCTGGGATCACAGCCTGGTCATGTGCAGCTAAGACCAGGTTTTCATGTGTGCAAACCTCAGCTTGCACCACCAGATAACAGATAGCTTCCCAAAGCCCAAGGGAAGCTTTCTCCTACCTCAGAAATAGTGACAATAAAGCTACAGGCCTCGGAGATGGAGCCGTCACCGCTGAGTCTCTGTGGCTCTGTGTACTTCATTCCCACAAGTATCAAGTTGAGGCTGGCTCTGCTCAGCCCGGCCCTGCTGTGCCTTCAGAATGGCCCTGAAACTAGGCCTCCTCCCTACGTGGTGTTCTTGCCTCACTGTCAGTGAGCGCCCACTTCCTCCGGGAGCCACGCTCTCCCGGCTCCTGCTCCAGTCATGACTCTCCCCCGGGGCCCAGGTGCACAGCCCACACACCGGCCTCTCTCAGCAGTCCATCAGCAAGCTCCCTGCCAGGTCTAAGGGGCAGCACAGGCATCCGGCAGTTGGGCCACGTGCTAGGTGCTTAATGAACCATCCTACCCCAAACACTGCTATCTTTCTTGGAGTTTCTATCCTTTATTTTCTTTTAAGTAAGTTACTTGATTACTTCTGTACTGGGAGCATCTGAAGTATCATTCCAGCACTTTCTAAGCCCCACTCTCCTAGACTGGTGACCCTGAACCGCCAAGGGGAAGTCAGGAGTGGCCGACAAAGTGGTGGACTTCAGCATATTTTGGCTGAGGGAGGAGCCTGTGAGCATTGTTTCTGAGAGGCGCTGTGGGGAAAGGGCTGAGCGGGAACAAGTCTGTGTGAAGCATGTGCCCTGGGAAGTGCTTTCGTCAGCCCACACCTTGGCACAGGGGCAAAGCCAGCGGTGAGAGGCCACTCCCGTCAGGCCTGCCACCTTCCTCTGCTGCTGGCTGGGGGCGCGGGGTGTCTGCCCCCCACGGAGGGCCGGCTGCACCCGGACACAGGGGCAGCCCAGGAGTCCGCTCCTCCCACTCACGGCGACCCCCGGGCTCTGCCCACACCAGCCTGTCCTCAGTGCCCTCCATCCTGCAGCTGGAAACCAGCCCCAAAGAACAGGAGGAAGCGCAGACAGGCAGAGCCCAGACCCACCTTCTAGGAAACACACCACCAAAAAGCTGTATCCTAGCTACCACAGTTCCAATTCCAACTACAGGCTCCACATGCTGTGCTACCCGGAGGATGAGTGACAGCACCACGGCTCTCCTCACTGACACACCCTACCATCAGGGTGACTGACAGCGCGATGGGCCCCCTCTCACGAGCACACCCTACCATCAGCATGACTGACAGCGCGATGGGCCCCCTCTTGTGAGCACGCCCTACCATCAGCGTGACTGACAGCACGATGGGCCCCCTCTTGTGAGCACACCCTACCATCAGCGTGACTGACAGCGCGATGGGCCCCCTCTAACAAGCACACCCTACCATCAGCGTGACTGACAGCGCGATGGGCCCCCTCTTGTGAGCACACCCTACCATCAGCGTGACTGACAGCGTGATGGCCCCCTCTCACGAGCACACCCTACCATCAGCGTGACTGACAGCGCGATGGGCCCCCTCTTGTGAGCACACCCTACCATCAGCGTGACTGACAGCATGATGGGCCCCCTCTTGTGAGCACACCCTACCATCAGCGTGACTGACAGTGTGATGGGCCCCCTCTTGTGAGCACACCCTACCATCAGCGTGACTGACAGTGTGATGGGCCCCCTCTTGTGAGCACACCCTACCATCAGCGTGACTGACAGCGCAATGGGCCCCCTCTCACGAGCACACCCTACCATCAGCGTGACTGACAGCGCGATGGGCCCCCTCTTGTGAGCACACCCTACCATCAGCGTGACTGACACCGCGATGGGCCCCCTCTTGTGAGCACACCCTACCATCAGCGTGACTGACAGCATGATGGGCCCCCTCTTGTGAGCACACCCTACCATCAGCGTGACTGACAGTGTGATGGGCCCCCTCTTGTGAGCACACCCTACCATCAGCGTGACTGACAGTGTGATGGGCCCCCTCTTGTGAGCACACCCTACCATCAGCGTGACTGACAGCGTGATGGCCCCCTCTTGTGAGCACACACTACCATCAGGGTGACTGACAGCGTGATGGGGCCCCTCTCACGAGCACACCCTACCATCAGCGTGACTGACAGCGCAATGGGCCCCTCTTGTGAGCACACCCTACCATCAGCGTGACTGACAGCGCGATGGGCCCCCTCTCACGAGCACACCCTACCATCAGCGTGACTGACAGAGAGATGGGCCCCCTCTTGTGAGCACACCCTACCATCAGCGTGACTGACAGCGCGATGGGCCCCTCTTGTGAGCACACCCTACCATCAGTGTGACTGACAGCGCGATGGGCCCCTCTTGTGAGCACACCCTACCATCAGCGTGACTGACAGCGTGAAGGCCCTCTTGTGAGCACACCCTACCATCAGCGTGACTGACAGCGCGATGGGCCCCCTCTTGTGAGCACACCCTGCCATCAGCGTGACTGACAGCGTGATGGGCCCCCTCTTGTGAGCACACCCTGCCATCAGCGTGACTGACAGCGCGATGGGCCCCCTCTCAGGAGCACACCCTACCATCAGCGTGACTGACAGCACGATGGGCCCCCTCTCACGAGCACACCCTACCATCAGCGTGACTGACAGTGTGATGGGCCCCTCTTGTGAGCACACGCTACCATCAGCGTGACTGACAGCGCGATGGGCCCCCTCTTGTGAGCACACCCTGCCATCAGCGTGACTGACAGCGTGATGGGCCCCCTCTTGTGAGCACACCCTGCCATCAGCGTGACTGACAGCGCGATGGGCCCCCTCTCAGGAGCACACCCTACCATCAGCGTGACTGACAGCGTGATGGGCCCCCTCTTGTGAGCATACCCTACCATCAGCGTGACTGACAGCACGATGGGCCCCCTCTCACGAGCACACCCTACCATCAGCGTGACTGACAGCGCGATGGGCCCCCTCTCACGAGCACACCCTACCATCAGCGTGACTGACAGCGCGATGGGCCCCCTCTCACAAGCACACCTTACCATCAGCGTGACTGACAGCATGATGGGCCCCCTCTTGTGAGCACACCCTAAGATCAGGGTGACTGACAGCGCGATAGGCCCTCTCTCACAAACACACCCTACCATCAGCGTGACTGACAGCGTGATGGGCCCCCACTTGTGAGCACACCCTACCATCAGCGTGACTGACACCGCGATGGGCCCCCTCTTGTAAGCACACCCTACCATCAGTGTGACTGACAGTGTGATGGGCCCCTCTCACGAGCACACCCTACCATCAGCGTGACTGACAGCGCGATGGGCTCCCCCTTGTGAGCACACCCTACCATCAGCGTGACTGACAGCGCGATGGGCCCCCTCTCACGAGCACACCCTACTATCAGCGTGACTGACAGCGTGAAGGCCCCCTTGTGAGCACACCCTACCATCAGCGTGACTGACAGCGCGATGGGCCCCCTCTTGTGAGCACACGCTACCATCAGGGTGACTGACAGCGTGATGGGCCCCCTCTCACAAGCACACCCTACCATCAGGGTGACTGACAGCGTGATGGGCCCCCTCTCACAAGCACACCCTACCATCAGGGTGACTGACAGCGTGATGGGCCCCCACTTGTGAGCACACCCTACCATCAGCGTGACTGACAGCGCGATGGGCCCCCTCTCACGAGCACACCCTACTATCAGCGTGACTGACAGCGTGAAGGCCCCCTTGTGAGCACACCCTACCATCAGCGTGACTGACAGCGCGATGGGCCCCCTCTTGTGAGCACACGCTACCATCAGGGTGACTGACAGCGTGATGGGCCCCCTCTCACAAGCACACCCTACCATCAGGGTGACTGACAGCGTGATGGGCCCCCTCTCACAAGCACACCCTACCATCAGGGTGACTGACAGCGTGATGGGCCCCCACTTGTGAGCACACCCTACCATCAGCGTGACTGACAGCGTGATGGGCCCCCTCTCACAAACACACCCTACCATCAGCGTGACTGACAGCTTGATGGGCCCCCTCTCACAAACACACCCTACCATCAGCGTGACTGACAGCGCAATGGGCCCCCTCTTGTGAGCACACCCTACCATCAGCGTGACTGACAGCGCGATGGGCCCCCCCTTGTGAGCACACCCTACCATCAGCGTGACTGACAGCATGATGGGCCCCCTCTTGTGAGCACACACTACCATCAGCGTGACTGACAGCGTGATGGGCCCCCTCTTGTGAGCACACCCTACCATCAGCGTGACTGACAGCATGATGGGCCCCCTCTTGTGAGCACACACTACCATCAGCGTGACTGACAGCGTGATGGACCCCCTCTCACAAGCACACCCTACCATCAGCGTGACTGACAGCGCGATGGGCTCCCTCTTGTGAGCGCACCCTACCATCAGCGTGACTGACACCGCGATGGGCCCCCTCTTGTGAGCACACCCTACCATCAGCGTGACTGACAGCGTGATGGGCCCCCTCTTGTGAGCACACCCTACCATCAGCATGACTGACAGCACGATGGGCCCCCTCTTGTGAGCACACGCTACCATCAGCGTGACTGACAGCGTGATGGGCCCCCTCTTGTGAGCACACCCTACCATCAGCGTGACTGACAGCGTGATGGGCCCCCTCTTGTGAGCACACCCTACCATCAGCGTGACTGACAGCGTGATGGGCCCCCTCTTGTGAGCACACCCACCTGGGCTGCATGGGTGACTTGAGGCAGTGGCGCCCAACACACCCAGACCTGCCATGGGACCCTAGCATGACCACAGAGCCACCTCCTGGCCTCCCCCAGAGCCTGAGGCTCAACCACAGCCTGAAGCACAGGCAGCTGCCAACTGCTGGCTGACTAGGCAGTGGCGCAGTGGTCTCAGGCTGGGGGTTCCTCCCCTCTGCATGTGGCCTGGCCTGTCCCATGGCACTGTGGCCTGTTTTACCTGGCGACTGGCCCATCAGATTTTGAGCTTCTTCGGAGGAGTGTAAAGGCAGCTTTTCTCCTGGAGAGCAAAGGAGAGACAGATTTAATGTTTTGCCCTCAAGGAGATAAGCAAGTTCCCTTCAATTAGGGAAGCTCAAAATATGACCGGCGCGCGCACAGCTGACGCCCCCGGCCGGTGGCTCTCGCTGGCCCGTGGGGGAGGCTCGCTCAGTCGCCTGGCTGGACTACGGCCGACTGCTCTGACTGCCTCACAGCAGGTCTGGGCAGCGGCCGGCTCCTGACACTGCTATTTCAGGGTATGCAAGGGGGACGTGGGCACCCCGCTACCCCGGGGCAGGGCAGCCACACTGCAGCGGGAAGCACTTGCTCCGGGGTGAGGGGAGTTGCCCAAGGTGGCCCGTCGGGCCGTGCACCCACGGACCACGGGAGGGCAGGGACAGGAAGCCAAAGGTCACACAGCCCAGCGTGGAGCTGGGCTGACCCTGCCACCGCAGCTGCTTTGTTACCGCTGCAGGAGTCAGCTTCAAAGCGCTGTGACCGCGCATGCGTGCGTGCCGCGCTGGATAGAGACAGTTCACAGAGAGAGAAACGCCCCAGGTGAGAAGAGAAGGTCAGAAAAGGGCAGCTGGGTACGTACCGGGGAAAGCGGGGTTGGTCTGTCCGAGGGGAGGAAAGGGGGTTTGCTGCATGGCCAGCTGGTGGAGCTTGGTCAACTGCTGGGGGTAGGAGGGACATGAGAGCTAAGAAGGTTATTGTTATCGAGTACAGTCAGTCACACCAAGTTAAAAACGGCAGTAACAGAACAGACAGGCTCAGGGGCCATGCGGACATGGCAGACACCGCAGCAGGATTCAAGGACTTGGCCTGGGTGAAGCAAGGGGCCTGGATGTTGGTAGCCAAGGGACCAGCCACACCTCCCTGCTCACCAGCGGGGTGGGGAGGGAGGTTGGCGAAGGCCAGTGTGGCCCCTGAGGAGAGGATCTGAGGGACACAGAGCAGGGACAGCTGGGACCCCAAGACTGGCAGACTCACGCTAGCACCTGTGGGGCACAGCAAGGCAAGCCCTCAGGTACTCCTGGTCCTGGCCTTGTGCTCAGGCCCTTACCTCGCAGCAGAGGCTGGTATGGGGAGGGGCTGGAGGGCATTGCGCTCACGCGGAGGCTGCTTCTCTGCTGGTCAGCTACAAGGCTTTTCAAGGGGAACTTTGGTTTATGGCTTCTCTAGGCATTTTATCTGAGCTTCACTAAGGGCAGCAGAAGAGCAAGGGAAATGTGGCCGGAACTGGCTTCGCTTAGAGAGAGAGGGCAGGTGGGATACTCAGAACCCTCTCACCCTCTGCAGAGCCCGGGATCTGGAATAGAAGGTTCTGGGCTTCCTCTAAACCTCTCACAAATAGGTCTGTGTGGGGCGTGCCATCGATGCAGGTGGAGTTGGGCCTGGCTTTGTGCTGTTCTGGGACAGACAGCAATGCCAGCAGTGGTGCTGGTGGGCGGGGGAGGGGGGGGAAGAGGGGCACTGAAGACGTGGAGCTGCTGCCCCAGGTGAGCGGGATGAGCTGCTGATCGGATATCTGCTTTAGAGAGAACGAGGTCCTCTCCCTTCAGGAAGCAGCACCAGGATCCTGTGTCTGTCTGGTGCTTCTTAGCACTATGTCCAGCTCCTAAGGCCCCTGGGACACTTGCCCTTCCCACACCTGGCACCTCCTCCCCCAGAAAGGTGGGCACAACACTAGCCTGTCCTAAAAGCAGCCCTACCCCTCTAGTCCCAGCTGCTTGGGCCCCATAAGCCTCTGCACCGGGCTGGGCTGTTCAGGGGAGACCACAGCAGCTCAGGCTAGGAGACTCAGTGACCTGGGTCAGCTTCAACCCTGGAATCCCCCAAACGGGTGACAGGTGCAGGGCCACGGCAGGCAGAAGGCTATCCGTCACCTGCGGCCTGGCGGGTCCCAGGCGGGTCCCAGGCAGACACGGCAGGGGTCCACCTGGCTCACATCTGATCTGCCCTGAATCTGGCAGAATTTAAGCCACCTGACAGGAGCCATCCCTGGCACCAGCCAGAGCTGCAGGGACTGCACGGTGCCTCCTACTCCATGCCAGGCCAGCAGGCCTGGGCGGCTGCCGTGCTGTGCGTCTGAGGAGGGAACGAGATTTCGGGGCCCTCCACGAGGGCGTGTCAGCCTGCAGGGCCTGCGCACAGCGGGCCCGTGGGAAGCACCGTGTGGTGACCTCTGAGAGGTCCCGACAGCGGCTCTCTGCCTGTTTCTGCTGTCCCCACACCCCAGGGGCCATCAGCCACTCCACCATGCTCCAGGGCAGGCCCTCTCCTTGGCGGCCCTGGGTCAGGATGGCCAGGGATGAGAACGAAAGTGGGCTTGGGGCTATCACGGCTGTGTGGAGAGGCGCCCCCCCCTCCAGGCCTCTGCTCCCTTGTCTGTAATACGGGGTGTGAGGGATGGGGGGCTGTCTGCATGCCAGTGTGGGCTGCAGCGGCCGACCTTCCCGGCTGCCCACACCTCTGCTGCTGCCCCTCCTCAGACCACCTGGGGAGGCTCATCCAGACCCCGGCCCATGGGGGACAGAAACCAATCTATGTCGTTGGCTCTACTCATGTCCAGACTGGCCCTCAGTAGCTCAGCAAGGCCCAGACTCTGGCTCCTCCTAGCACAATACATATTCTGCTCTTAACAAAGAGATGTTCCCACTCACCTATGCCTCGTGCCGGCACAGACACAAGCTGGCAGGCCATGGCCAAGCTGGGTAGGCATTTGCTCACTGAGTGGGTGAACATTTTGTTTGCTGGGCCCTGCTTGATCAAGCTGCTGTACCTTTGGAACTCTACATTTTTTAAAAGAGGGAGTAGGGCTGAGCACCAAGCAGCTTTCTGCTTCTTGTGAAAGTTCTGTCATCTGAGAAAGCAAACAAGTCCTCAACTCCCAGTGTTAGCTCCAGTTCCTCCACATCATCAGGAGGGAAGGGATGGAGGTGGGCAAGGGAGGGAAGGAGAGCAGCAGGTGGAAGGGAGGGGGGGAAGGTGGGGGGGAGGGAAGGTGTCCCGCCCCAGGAATCCCCTTGCTCTTTCCATCTGACATTGCGTCAGAAGGTGACACACAGGGGCTGAGGTCTGTGTGCAGTCAGTGAAGCCGCACAAAGCACTCCTGGGAGCAGCCCAGGCCTGCATTTCTGGACAATGTCTCTTGCCTAAGCTCACCAGACCCGTTGTGGTTTAGACATGACCCTGCTCCAGGGATGGAGAGGCACACCTTTCCCCCACTCTCTTCACTGTGTTCAGGGAGGCAGGGTTTCACAAACTTTCCTCGCTGATGCCTCTCACACACGACACCCACTTCTCTCGGTATGTGCAGATGGTGTTTGACTGTCTCGAGACATACTTTCCCGGAGACCACTCATTGCCCAGCAACATTTGTGGTGGCCCTTCTCTTGGGTTTGCGCGGGAGGCCCGGGCAGCATGCTCACCCCAGCTGGCTCCCAGCTAGTCCTCTGCTGTAGTGGTCTCCCTGGCACCCAAACTGCACCCACTCGGTTATTACCTCACAGAAAATCTGTGCATCTGCCAGGGAAAATCTTCCCATTACTCTTAAGGACAGATGGATGATTCTTGAATGGTGCTTTCCCATATCAATTTAATATTTTAATTTCCTCAAAAAGTCTTACAAAATTTGGCTTGGAATATTGCATTAATGTATCAATTGGGAAATAACTAATATCTTTGTAATATTAGTGTTTTTATTAATGGATATGGTATATCTCTTCATTGCATATTTTGTTTTTTTTGAGGGTAGTACTAGGTTTGAACTCAGAGCCTTGAATGTGTTAGGCAGTAGGTCTACTAATGGAGCTATATCCTCAGCTGTTTTTCTTTTAGTTAATTCTCTTTCTGTGGCCTTAGGATGCAATCTTTCTGTCTATGCCTCTCACAGAGCACACACAGGCATACATACACATACATAGTATACATAGAGTACACTGGGGCATAAAAATAGTCCACATGTAATTTTTTTGGTTGTTGTTGGTCATGGGGATAGAACTCAGGGCTTGGGCGCTGTCTCTGAGCTCCTTTGCTCAAAGATCCCACTTGAACCACAGCACCACTTCCTGTTTTCTGGTGTTCATTTCAGATAAGAGTCTCTTGGGCTTTTCTTCCCTAGCTGGCTTTGAACTTTGATCCTCAGATCTCAGCCTCCTGAGTAGCTAGGATTACAGGCATGAGCCACCAGCACCTGGCTACGGGTACTTTTTTTTTTAATCTATTTCTATTAATTCCATCCATTAGAGAGCAGAAATAGTGATTTAACACATTATGTTTTTGTTTATTTACCGAAATGCCTACAATTTTCTTTGTCCACCATTCTTTCTTTCAAGTCTAGCCTTCCTTTTTGACATAATTTTCCCTTTCAAAAGACTATCCGTTAGAAAGCGATTTCTGTGGGCCTTTTGGTCTTTGCTGTTTGTCTGCAGAAGCTACACTGAAGTCCTCGGAAGAGCACTTCCTCTACTATGTCACTGTCTCCGGATGGCCATTGTGCTGGTGAAGGCTCAATGGCATTTCTCCTTCCTTGTTCCTCTCTCTTGTTGCGGGTGGTGCTGTCCAGGGCTCCATACCTGTCGAGCACACCTTCAGCCCTGCCCTTGACCGGCTCTTTTTAGGGCAGGGTCTCGCTTTCCACCAAACAGGCGCCCGGGCTGTGACTGCATACTCTTTCAGCTTCACATCACTGCTGGATCACAGGCTCACACCTCTCTCCAGCTTCCGTCCAGGGAAATAGTCTCGAGGACTTTTCTGCTGGGCTGGCCTGGCTTGCACATGGCCATCCCAGTTCCAGTCTCTACTGTAGCCCAGGACGTCAGACAGGCATGTCCCTCCAGCATGCAGCTGCCTCCTCCTCCTCCTCACTGCCACCCAGCTACTGCTGCTGCTTCCTTCTTTGTTTCCTTTTCCTCTTCCTCCTCTTTCTCTCCTTTTTTGAGATAGGATATTACTATGTGGCCAGCCCTGGTCTTGAACTCAAGATTCTTCTGCTTCAGCCTCCTCTGGAGAGCTAAGATTATAGGCATGAACCACTTCCTGGCTCCTTTGTAATGTTCTTTTTTTTTTTTTTTTGGCGGTGGTGGGGCTTGAACTCTGGGCCTGGGTGCTGTCCTTCAGCTCTTCAGCTCAATTCGAGCTCTCTACCACTTGAGCCACAGCGCCACTCCCGGTTTTCTGGTGGTTAATTGGAGATAAGTTTCATGGACTTTCTTGCCTGGGCTGGCTTTGAACTGTGATCCTCAGATCTCAGTCTCCTGAGTATCTAGGATTAAAGATGTGAGCCACCAGAGCCCAGCTTCTTTTGTAATATTCTTATTCTCTCTGATTACCTCTAGTACTTGCTTTTGGGTTTTGGTATTATGTAGTTTTATTTATGTCTAAGATGGATTTTTTGTTATCCTGTTTGCAATTTGTTGGGATACTTGAGTGTACTTGCTTCTGTCAATAATTGTAGAAAATTCTCTCCATCCTAGCTTCTCAGGGCTCTATGGGAATGCACGGTATTCATATTGGTCCTCATATCCAGGGCTTCTCAGATCCTGGCACATGTACAAGTCACAGAGCAGGCTGCGATCCCACACAGCCGGCTGAGAAGGGCCAGTGAAGGAGGGGTCCAGAGCCAGGCCACAGCTCAGAGGGAGACGGCCGTGGAGCAGGACAGTGAGGGAAA